TGCTCCTGGAGACCCGGTCCCTCTCGGGAGGGTAACAAGGGAAAGTGTTCAGTGCAGATCAGTGAGTAAGCACAAGCCCACCCGTGCTTACCTTGCTCCCGGAGACACCTTCCTTAATCACCTTGTTAACAATTATAACTTAACTCTTCACTTCCTCTTTCCTCTTTTGTGTTTTCCCCTTAGCATCTTTCACCTTCTAACATGCCAACTCCACGGCACTTAGCAACAACAACATACTGCACATATTTTATTTATGTTTGTTGTTTACCTCCACTTACTAGAATATGACCTCTGAAAGAGTAGAGATTTGAATCTAGTTTGTTCACTGCTGTATCTCAGTATCTAGAACAGGGTTCTAGGTAGGTAGATACTCAGTAGTTATTTGTTGAATAAATTAGTAAATTCAGCATTCTTAATATATATCTACATGTATCTTGTATTAGCTTAAACAAACCTTTCCCTCACATGCAAATGACATAAAAGATAATTTAAATCACAAGAAATATATGTCTAATAAGCAAAAGAAAAAAAGCCTTACATGTAATTAAAAACTTGAAAAATTAAATAATATGACTATGTTAGACTTTGTGTTCATAAGAACGAATAAATCATGATATTCAGAGTTTAGAGATAGAACTGTGATAAGCTAGCAGTGCCAGGATAAAACAGGTTCACCTTTTCTGTAGAAAATAAATCAAAATATATCAGAAACTTTAAATATATGTATCCTTTGGTATAGTAAGCCTCCTCGTTAAAAATTATCCTGGGGGAAAAAATGAGAATATATAGAAAGATTTGGCAACAAGTCTTGTTTATAAAAGTAAAAAATTAAAAGAGTCAGCATCCACAAATTTCCAAATATAGACACTTCATTTGTAAATGAGATGTGGACTATCCATAAAATGGATTATTATGCAGTCTTTAAATAAGTATTTCAATTAACAGTTATGACATGACAAAGATTTACAACATATTCAATATATTTGTATGTGGTAAGAAGCAGTCTGTAAAAGAGAATATGTTGAATGGTACCGTTTTTGAAGGACAAAGCTATATAGCCATGCACATTGGTCTGATAGGACTTACAGTTTACACTGCAGTTTCTGGCTTTTATTTTATAGTTTGCAGTGGAAATAATACTCACATATAAAAAATCAGAATTATGCTTGTACTGATCTTCAAAAAATTGCTACTATTATACATGTAAACGATTTTCTTTAAGTGTGACTGGAATATAAGTACTCCTCTTCACAGCATCTTATGTGCTTATGATAATACTCTGTTTCATCTATTTTTGAATTCCTGCATTGGTGAGGAGGGACTAATGATCAAACTTTCTTAAAGAATAAACTCTTGCGTTCATTTAAGTCTTTAGAACCTTCACATGTGGAAGCTGTCTGGCTACAGGTACAATTGTATTGAAAATACACTTCACAAGACTTTGCAAACAAAATAGTTAAATTTATGTCATGCAATTAATCCAATATTTTACCTCCTTAGAGATTTTAATTAAAACAGAATCCTACCCCTCTCTCTCTCTCTCAGTACTCAGTACTTCTTTAGCGGTAACGTACAATCGAGTTCTGTTGAACCAAAGAAGGGGAAATTCCCAATTTGGCCAGAATGGAGTGAAGCCGATGTAAACGCAGAGAAGTGGGATGCAGGGAAAGCTGCAAAAGAAAAGGATAAAATGGGCAAAAGCCCTGTCTTTGTAAGTATTCTGCAGTATGACTAGATTTTTCATTTGTTTTTCAATTTTCTGTTGTTTCTTAACAAGGGGGTCTACTCATTCTTGTCCATAATCTCCATTCAAAATGGAAGTTTTGTCATTGTCATCGGACCTTCATCACCCCACCCCGCCCCCTTGGCTTTACATTTCCAAGCCTTAGTCCTGAGCTTCTGTGAATCTCACTGGGGAGATGGGGGAGGGAGATATGATCAAAGAAGCAGAATTGAATGAAGAAATTAAGAGATAAAAGAGTTTAGTCAATTAATTTTGGATGGAATTGAGAATCAGGCATTTATAGAAGATGGTTTAGAGAATAAGGAATTGATCTATGAACTTTTAATTGGACATCATAGGAAAGATGATTTTTAAAAAGATGTTACTGTAAAATAAAATTTGAATCACACTTAATATTACTCACATATTAGGGCAAAGATCTGAGTTACTCTTTGTTTACCTTTCATCATTTTAAACATGATATGTCCCAGAGATTGGAGCTATCTGAAATTCCGAGATTTTCAGGTTATATTATTTTTTGGTACTTTAGCCTGCTTAAAATTCTTATACTCTATTTTTTAAAGATTTATTTTTGAGGATATGAGACTGGGTTGCATTTAAACTATGACCTACTTATTTGGTATGGCAATTCATTTAACAAAAAATATTTATAGAACACAATAAAATACTAAAAACCACACACAAAATTGCTAGGATGGCTAGATTGAACTCTGGTGTCTTGATTTGTGTAGAGCACTATGAAATGGTACATGTTAATGTTTAAATTTTGTTCACAGAAATAGAGAAACACAAAACAAAAAATTCCTATCAGTGGTTTGTTCATAAAAGATATTGCAAAATTGAACCAATTGCTAACTCTAGTAGCACTTCAACAATTTTCAAATTAGCATGTGTGAGGTTGCATTCTTTGTGCCATACCTAAAAGAAGTATGGAACCTTTATATTCAAAGAACTTTTGAGCCCTGTGGGTTCAAATGAAAATGGCCAGGTCCTAATTATTTTTACCAGAAATTCAGTCTTATGGGCATTGTGTATATGTGTGTTTGCGCACACATGCATGTGTGTGTAGCTTTCAGAACTTCATCAGGAGTATACCAAAAAAACCAAGCCCACTGCCATCGAGTCGGATCTGACTCATAGCGACCCCTTCTTGGGTTTTTGAGGCAGTATCACTATGGAAGTAGATTGCGCAACCTTCCTTTCAAGGAGTGGCTGGTGGGTGTGAACCGCCAGCCTTCTATGCAAGTCCTCACCTGAGCTCTGGAAAAGTCATTGAGATGAGTCACTCCAACACATGGAGACACTATAGGGACAGGGAGAGCAGAAGTGCCTGAAAATTTGGATATAGGATACTAACAGGAGACTTTTTCAGAGATTTTTCGAGTGTAAGCATGTCTTTATCAGATAGATATGAAAAAGTCTTGCAGATGTCTGGTGGATTGGGTGTCCAGTTCTGGGCTTTATCAGTATTATGAAAACAAGGGTGAAAATGTTGGGAGAGTATTTATTGGAGGAAAACCCTAAGAAGTGGAGCAGAACTATGTGTGTTGGTCACTTGTTGCCGATTCCATTCTGGGGCAGCAACAATGGACTGAATGGCAGACTCCAAAGAAGGTACCTTGACCTTTGGACTAAGGAGCTTTTGAAAACTTCATGATTAGAATTTTGAGAAGGTCAGCTTCATAGATGTGAGTTTAACAGTCAGGGAATCAGCTTCAGAACAATTAGCTCTACCCGGTAAGTTCAACCACTTCTTCAGCTAAATGATGGCAACTAAAGGATAAAGAAGAGGGTGAGTGAAAGAGAGGAAGACCAGTGAGATAGATCGACATATTGATTGCAACATGGGCTTAAACATAGCAGTGATTGCGAGGATGGTGCAGGATCGGGTAGTGTTTCATTCTGTGGTGCAGAGGGTCACTATAAGTTAAAACAAACTCTACAGCACTTAACAGCAAAGGATGAACTAAAGAATGAACCAAACTGAGAGGTATGCCACGAAGTACTGCAGACTGGTGATAAGAACAACACCTAAAGCAAAATCACACGGGAAGATTACCGTTCTCTTCTTAATGTGAGGAGCTCAAAACCTGGAAAAAAAGGGAAGGACATGAATGAGCCCAACATTCATGTTTTCTCTTAAGGGTGTTTATTGGTTCAAGGCATGGAAATTAGAGGCAAGCAGAAAGTAGTGGCCCGGCTCATGGCCTGGAGAGACAGAGAGTAATGTCCAGGGTTGTCCATGCAGCCAGAACTGGAATCCCAAGACAGGGGCAATTGCAGAGAAGTGATGTGGAAATGTGGCATAGAATTTTATCTTGGGATATTGTCCAACTCCTAACTTATGTGTGTGAAGGGCATGCTGCTGAGAAAATGAGCAGTAAACAGCAGCTGGGAGGATAAAGCAGTAAGAGATTTTATGGTGCTATGGAGAGAGAAGGGAATTCAGGATACACCAATGTGAAGGAAAAGGTAAAGATTCCAACTTTTCAGTTCGTACCCTGAGTAGCTAAAGTATTCTGTATGGAGTAAGAGCAAACCAAAGTTAAACCATTCTTACCACATTCTGAGAATCCCTGATGTTGCAGTGGTTAAAGCACTTAGCTGCAGGATGCAAGGTCAGCGTTTAAACCCACCAGCTGCTCCATGGGAGAATAAATGTCAGTCATGGAAATCCTGTGTTGCAGTTCTACCCTGTCCTATAGGGTTGCTATGAGTTGGAATCGAGGGCAGTGGGTTTGGGTTTTTTTTTTTAGTTTACCACACCCTGAGTCCCAATGTTCATTAGTTCAAATTGATCTTGGACTCTGCCTGCCTAGGGGAAATGAAAATCTCTGCTCTGGATGAAGACATTATAGTTTAGAGCCCATATAAATTTTTGCACTTAGTGTACATTATAGGAGCTCTGGTAGCATAGTGCTTAAGGCACTTGACTGCTAACCAGAAAGCTGGTGGTACAAACCCACCAGCCACTCCTCGGAAGGAAGTTTGGGCAATCTACTTTGTAGTGATACTGCCTCAGAAACCCAAGGAAGGGTCACTATGAGTTGGGTCCGACTTGACAGCACGTAACAATAACAACAGTGTACATTATATAATCAAAAAGTCCAGGCATAAGGAGAAATAGCCAAGTGACTGAAAGCCAAGAGGAAAAATCAGATAGTAGAAAGAGATCCACAGGTGAGACATATTTTGAAATTGTTGGACAAGGGACTTTTAAAAAATAAAGTTATTATTTTCAAGAGAAAAGGCAAAAGAAAAAACAGAAACAATGTGAGCAACCCTTAAAGTATAATACATCACCTGGAACCTTGGTCTTTTCTCAGAAATTCATTTTTAGAGCATTTGGCTGGATGTTGAAGTTCCCCTTTACTTTATTCAAATAATTCCTGTATGTTAACTGTAACGACAGAGCATGTACTCTAGGTAAATTTCAACCCACTGCTAGTAGAATCGATTCTGACTCATAGCGACCCTATATGGCAGAGTAGAACTGCTCCAGAGGGTTTCCTAGGCTATAATCTTTATGGAAGCAGACTGCCACATCTTCCTCCCATGGAGTGGCTGGTGCGTTCCAACCACTGACCTTTCAGTTAGCAGCCAAATGCATCCTCACAAAGCCACCAGGGCTCCTCTGTAATTTTCATGGTAATCAGATTTTTACTTTAAGGCTGGTGTGGCCTTGTAATAGGTTATACTTGAGGGCATTGTCTCAAATTTAAACATTATAAACCAAAGTAAAAAAAAAAAAACAAACTCACTGCCATCAAATAGATTCTAAGTCATAGCAACCCCATTTGGGTTTCTGAGGCAGTAGATCTTTATGGAAGTAGGTTTCCCAGCCCTCCTTCTGCAGAGTGGCTGATGGGTTTGAACTGCCAACCTTCTGGTTAGCAGTCTAACCACTTTAGGCACTATGCCACCAAACTCCTTTTAAACATTATAAGTGTCTCAATTTAGAGAAGGAGAACAAAATAATTGACAAGATTACATGCTGTATCATTCCATTTATATAAAATTATTGAAAAGACAAAATTTTAGGAATAGGCAATGAATTAGTGGTTTTAAGGGGTTAGAAATGGGGTAGGGTATGCAAGGGTAATTGAAGGGATCCTTACGCTGATGGAACTGATGGAATCTTGACTTTTTCAGTGTCAGTTCCCTGGTTGTGATACTATACAGTAGTTTTTCAAGGTGTTACCCTTGGTGAAACTGGATAGAAGGTACACAGGGACTCTGTATTGTCTCTTGACAACTGTGTGTGAGTCTATAAGTATCTCAAAATAAAAAGTTTAATCAAAAAATTAAGTAATGAAAGGCAGGTCAAAGATAAAAATCTCATTTGGATTTAGATTTATAATTCTAATAGTTAAAAATGAAGTATTTAAAAATTTTCTTTAACAAGATAAAAAATACTTATTTTCAGTTGGCAATATGTTCCTATCTGGCTCGTCCAAAATTATTTTTGTATCATGCCTAGTTCACATTCCCAAACAGCTCATGCTTGTTTAGACTGAAGCCTCTACAACAGCAATGCTCCTGAGCAAAGAAGATTTTATTGATTGAATGGAATATTCTTAAGTATAGTATTCTCCAGGGGAGCTCTGGTAGCGTAGTGCCTAAGGCACTTGACTGCTAATCAGAAGGCTGGCGGTTCAGACCCACCAGCCACTCCTCGGAAGGAAGATGAGGCAATCTACTTCCGTAGTGATACTGCCTCAGAAACCCAAGGAGGGGTCACTATCCATCAGGTCCGACTTGACAGCACATAACAACAGCAACAACAACAACAATGTAGTATTCTCCAAGTACTCCATGAGTGAGCTTTGAGAACAAACAGAAATTGCTCTATACATGTTTATTGATTGATTAATTGTATGCAGTTAATTTTTGTCAAAGTTGAATTGTTTTTATTTTAATAAAACTCTGGAGAAAGAGCTCAACTTCTCTATTTTTCATACAGCATTTTTTTGAAGACCCTGAAGGAAAGATTGAATTACCACCATCCTTGAAAATTTATTCTTGGAAACGTCCACAGGATATTATATTTCATCAGGTAAGACATAATTTTAATATTTTACAAGGTAAATATTCACTATAGGGAAGTAATATCCTAGTTATAAAATAAGCATTTTAAAAAATTAGGTTAATTTTTTCTCTTGGTGTTCAGTGCTGTTGTTATTGTTAGGTGCTGTCGGCACTTAGTAAGAATAGGTAATTGCTTTGTGACATTTACAGAAGAAATAAATGTTTATCAGAATAAGTAGTTTAATATCTTTGGTACTAGTTACCAAGTCATTATTGAAATGTTTTTTTGGAGCCTGGAGTTTGCTTTTTCTTCTTTTCATAATGTCAAATTATAGGCTAAAATGTTGTAAGAATTTATTCCTTAAAGTCTGACTGACAGAATTTGTCCTTTATGCTGCTTAGCAGGAATCTTATGAGGCACAACAATCTGATTTCTCTAGTGTTTATGAGCATCAGTTTTCATGCACTTGAATTTTTCTAGACCAAGGATACTTGGAGCATAGTCCAAGGACCACCTTCATTTCTGTACCCTGTGCCAAAGCACCTGAATCATATTGACTGGACAATCAAGAGAAACCTTCATTTTAAATAGTACCTGTGCACATTAAAACGACAGACCCACTGATCTTTATAATAATCTTCCTAATAGCTATGTTAGTTTGAATATATTTGGTGTTTCAAAAGATGTAATTATCACTAATGCCTTTTTTCCTTGTCGAACCCCCCATTACTTTCATTTAACACGTAGAAAACCAGTGAGCTAAATTAGCTCCTTGGTGCTAATCAAATGGTTGTAATGGAGCTGATTCTTTGGTACCTGATGGAATTTTGAATCTCTGTTTCTACCCAAAATGATTTTATTCCTAAAACTGTTAGCTTTGATAAGTGCTCTACTAATGCAAGCAAATGCAATTTGTATGATAATATTTTCTAATTGCTGTTACTAGTTGAAAAAGTTGGATAAGTCTAAATTCAAAAAGTTAGACTAAAATGAGAAAAATGCATTTCTACTCAAGTCTATTTATTCATGCATTCTTGTAAGACATTTTAAATGAAAGAGATCAAATATGCATGAACCATGCCTTTAAATTACTTATAATTTTAGATAACATTAACATGAAGAACATGAATTCAGTAATGTTAATATAATGTGCTTAATATTAATGTATTATTAATAATATTCAGCTCAACTCAATATAAATAGAGGCCTTACGGTCATGAAAATAAAGGATATGAATTACACAGAGTGGGGGAGTTGTAAATTTAAATAGATAGAAGCTCTCATAAGCTATCTTTTTTCTTTTAAAGTATATCTTATTTCTGAGACATTTGTACTAATAAAATCATTCATTGTTGATCACACTTCCACCTATACTTACATTGTCCTACCCACATCAATACCTCCACTCTCCCTTGGTACTGATTCCTTCTCTTGATCCATCATGCTGGAGTATGGATGAGTGCAAAGCTGGCTAGAAGCAGCCAGAACTGAAAGTCGAGCTAAGTAGAGTCTGAGAATAATGTTTTTCTAGCTTTAATGACTAGGTACACAGGTACATTTTACATTGAGACTCATTAAACGTGGACATATATACAATTGAAACAAAATGTCACACAGCATTAGTGACCTTAGCTCTGGTGGTGTAGTGGGTAAGGCATTTGGCTGCTAACCAAAATAATATTATTATTAATAATAATTAATATTATTAATATTAATAATGATATATAATTAATATAATATTATAATTAATATTATTAATATTAATAATGATATAATAATATTCTTAATTAATAATTAAGAATGGCTTAATATTAATTAATAATATTAATATAAATTAATATTAGAACAATTAGGTCAGTGGTTTAAACCCACCAGCCACTCTATGGGAGGAAGATTTGGCAATCTACTTCCATAAAGATTTACAGCCTTGGAAACCCAATGCACTAAAAGTGGGATACCACCTTCCCACTTAGCCCCAGAGGAGGAAAATGTAGGTGGTATATATAATACTATATGTATTACTGGGCATGAAAGGGTTAAAAGCACTGATAAGCTTACCAGAATTCTCTGACCAAAAGATGAAGTCGAATGAGATGATTTATATCAGAGAGAAGTTTGGCTATTAAAGACCATAAAGGGTGAGATTTAAGAGATCAGAGTTGACGTGGGTTGTTCCAACCATGGATCATTAACAAGCTCTGATCCCAGAGTGAATGATCAGATCTGTTTATTTCTAAGAACTGGATACTACTGGTAGTCCAGGACTTTGAGCATTGGTTATATTGAACAGAAGTCAGTACTGAAGAAGATGTCCAAAGATTCATCCTGCCCCAGGTAGAATGTCAAACATGATTGCAGAGAGAACCGAATAAACACTTTAAGTCTTTTACAGTCAGTCCCTACTTTTCATTACATAGCAGGTGATTACAGGTAATCAATTTTCTTGCACACTAGTGCTTGCTGAAAGATATGGGCATTTTAGAAAAGGGTTACATCTCAGTCAGTAAACTCAGCATTGTGCATGTGTGTTTGCATTTAAATACTGAATTAACTTACTATGTTTATATATCATGATCAAAAGAGTTCAGACCTCTAAAGTTTGTATTCAAGTCAGTCATTTCTTCATACATAAAGAAAAAAAAAATAGTGAGTTTTCAAGATGCTCTTTATACAGCTAGGAGCCCTGGTGGTGCAATGGTTAAGCACTTGGCTGCTAGCAGAAAGCTGGTGGTTTGAACTTACCTAGTGGCTCCATAGGAGAAAGAAGTGGTAATCTGCTTTCGTGAAGATTACACCCAAGAAGATCCTATGAAGCAGTTCTTGTCTGTCACATGAGGCTGTTGTGGGTCTCAGTTGACTCCACAGTAACTGACAACCCTGGTAGAGATGACAAAGTCATTGATGGCATTGTTGTTAGGTGCCATCAGGTGGACTCTGACTAATAGTGATCCTGTGAGAATAGAATGAATTGATGGCATTAGTTTCTGTAAAACCAATTCACTAATCAAAACCATTTTAATGTTAATTTGATATGTTAAATACATAAACTTGATATGAATGTATGAATGGTAGTTCTTTTTTTTAACCATTGTAAATCATATTTTCATTATTATTTGTATTCACTATTTGTCTAAACTTAAAAAACAATTTTAGATGTGCATCAATTAAACTATGGCCATCATATAAATTTTAACTTGTAAAAGGATTTAAAAGGATTTTAAGAAGCTGTCACCAGTAATATTTTTCATCCAAAGATAAAGGAAGGTATTATTCCAGCTACCAGATGTTCACTAAGCTACAGGTTTAACTTCAGTGGCTAATTTAAATGTCAAATCATCTTTTAAACTTTCAGATTGTATATGTCTGTGCATGCTAAATTCATCTGCATATATTATGTCTATTAATATTTTATCTGTATGTTAAATTCTGTATTTTATAGGAATCCTATTACTAAATTTAGTTCACCTGAAGCTCTAACCAGTGATCATTTTATGGAATAATGGGTTTTATATTTTTCTAATTCTTCTGGTTATGAGAAATGAAATCAAGTTTGGCCTATTTACAGTACATGAATCTTTATTTTATAAGTTAGTTACATTCTCGTTAAGTTTCTTATGGACTAATAACTTATTATTATTATTATTATTTTATAATTTTGTATTTTAGACTCCGGTAGTTGTGAAGAATGAAATCATGTTTGATTTGTTTTCAGCAAATGAACATTTACTTGGCAGTGAGGTATGTCGAGATGGATGAACTTGCCTGCCTTGCAGTATGCCCTCCAGACTAGCTTGAACCATACAGACATGGCTGTCTCAGCTCTCCCTCACCCACCTTCAAGTTTCTGTGTCTTTGAGTATTCTTGTAGCTGACTTTCAATGGGGGCAAAATGCTCTTTAATTGAGCAAACTTTGGGCAGATATTAGTATTACCGCTGTTCATTCCCCTACCTCCTGCCAATGGTTCCAAGGTCCATGGCTTCTCCCAGCCTAGGCATTTCTCCTCAGAATTCAGGTGGTTAGTAACTGTACAGTGTTAATACCCTTATTTGTTACACTGTGTCCAGGAGTCGGGGTGGGTAGTGGTTGTTTGACCAGTTGTTGTTGAATGCAGTTGACTTTCAATCCATAGTGACCTGACCTCACGTAACAGAAGAGAACTGCCCCATAGGGTTTGCTAGGATGTTATCATTAGGGGAGCAGATTGTCAGATCTTTCTTCCTCAGAGCCATTGGGTGGGTTTGAACCACCAGCCTCTCTGTTAGCAGCCGAACACTTAACCATTTTGCCACCAGAGCTCCTGTAGGGGAAATCAGAGGGATGTAATTAGATTGCAACATTCCCTCTAAACAGGAAAACACTTCAACACAGCAGTCCAGCTTACTTTGTGTGTGGTGGGGGATGGTGGTAGGAGTACGGGGCCCTCCTCTCTCCACCATGGCATCCTTCCTAGGGGAGGTCATTTCCCACCTACTCACTCTAGATTTTTATCCATCAAAGGTAGGTCTAGTTACATTAGGGTCATGGGGCTTTTGATTATTTGCTGCTAAGACTCAATCAGAGGACTGGAGACATGGTCATTAATGATTGAAATACGTTGTTTTTCTTGTCTTTATAACCTAGACATGTTAGAATCAAAACTTTTATTTCTTTAAGCATATTACACTGATTGGTATATAACGTTCTCTGAACTGTTTGACGTGTTAGTCTAAAATATGCTTATTTTATGAATCCTAAAGATATTTAGACTTTAACTTTTCATTTCTCAAGGGAAGAAAATTATATAAAAATGCTATCATAAAATACCTAGATAAAAAGGGAAGATATCTGTTTATCTTTTTCAACTCAACTAAACTTTAAGAAATATCCTAGGTAAACTGTAACTCTATTTAAATAAAACACAAATTTAGTGAGTTCAGGCTGGGATATTTAATCTCCTTCCAAGCCAGGCAGCTTAAATAGCCACCAGAGGTGAAATGGGTATTTCAGAAAAATGCAATACTACTGAGGTAATAATGGCCTGTTGAGCACCCACTGTGACCTAGAGATTTTTTATGCATTGTTTCTATTCTTCACAAAAATGGATGGTGTTACCTACATTTTACAGATGAAAAATTGCAACTCAGAGAGATTGAGGCAAAAGCAGAAAGCTATGAAGTACCTGAAGGAGAATTAAAATCCTGGTTTCTGTTTTCACTTTGAAGCCCAACTTCCCACTGTATCTCGCTGCCTCTTAAAAAACACTGAAAATGAGCATTTCATTAGGGTATTTTTATCTAGGAAATCCAACTCATGAAATTTGGGACTTCAAGTATCTCTGGCATTTTATTTGTTTCACAGGACTCATTTCTCATCTAATTGGTCCCAGTAAGATGAAAGAGATAATTTCCTTCTCAAGTTATCAGCGTGTACAGAGTAGCTCACTCATTTGTGAAAAGTTAATTCCCAAATAAAATCAGCAGCAGTCTCAAGCACACACAGACACAGAGGAAACAGAGGGCGACCTTGCACCAGGCTAAGGCGCTGTCTTCCAGAGCAAACTGTAGGCAGTTTGGTAATATTTAATACTAGACAGCTTAGCTTGTAATGTGATTGATGTTTTCAAAACACCTGTATTTGTTGAAAATAAAAACAAGACTTATAATTTTATTCTCCTGGCGGTTCAAACCCACCAGCCACTCCTCGGAAGGAAGGTTGGGCAATCCTACTTACGTAGTGATACTGCCTCGGAAACCCAAGGAGGGGTCGCTATGAGTCGGGGCAGACTCGACGGCAAAACAACAACAACAATTTTATTCTCTAGGTCAGAAACCAAAACATGGAAAATATGACATATGAAATTTAATAGTACTATTAGAGGTAGAGGAGCTTTGTGACACAGTGGTTAAAGTGCTTGGCTGCTAATCGGAAGTTTGGCGGTTCGAACCGACCAGCTGCTACATGGGAAAAGGATGTAGTGGCTAAGGCACTTGACTACTAACCAGAAG